TCCTGAAGCTATCTAGGGTCCAGCATGGGCTGTCTGGGAGTCTTATTAGTATAACAAAGGCACTCCTATCAGGAAGCTCCAAGGGTTTTCAAAGCTCAGTGCCAGGAATCGAGGACAAAGACCAGATCTATTTTTTATTATTTCACATTATCCATGATTGCTGGGATAGAAAGGTAGTTTGTAGAAATATCTGCTTTTTATATGACCAAATGATTCCAAGCCTGACTTCAGGAAGATAGTTTGGAAGATGTTTACTTTTGAAGAGTGCAGGCAGAATGAAGTTGGCTGGGGAAAATTCCAGACTAAGACTATAATTAAGGGAATCATGTAATTTATCATCTAACCCAGGACACCTTTAAGAGTGCAGGGAACCAGGGCCTTGGCATCTTCAGGAGATTGTCCTCCTGTCAACAGGTGGCAGGAGAGGAAACAGTAAAGGGCAGGGCAGGGGAATTAGAAGGGCCAGGCCTGGCAGCACCTCCCTTCTTCCCCACATTAGTGGGCAGAATTCAGACATGTGGTCACACCTCACTGCAATGGGAAACGTTATCTAGCTGTGTGCCCAGGGGGTTGACAGGATATGGATTTTTGATAAATATAGAGCAGTCTCCACCTGGCTATTTCTGGAATATGCCAAGCAGGCTACTTTCTCTGGGCCATCAGCATTGTCATTCCACACTGTATGGAATATACTGCCCCCAGATAGCCTCATGCCTCATTCCCAAGATATCTCCATGTCTCTGCTTAGAAGATACCTTAACAGAAAGACAAACTTGTCAACCCCATATGAGATTGTGAGTCCAGTGCCACCCTTCACTCCCCATTCCCAAACTATTGAATAATAATTGTACCAAGTCAGGACTTGTATTAGTCAGAGTCTTCCAGAGAAACAGAACCAACAGGATATATAGAGATATAGAAGAGGAGATTTGTTACAGGAATTGGCTCACGCAATTACAGAGGCCACAGAGTTCCATGATCTGTTCTGTGCAAGCTGGAGAACCAGGAAAGATGGTAGTGTATAATTCAGTCTGAGTCTCAAAGGTTGAAAATCAGGTGGGCTGATGGCGTAAGTCCCAGTCTTCCGCCAAAGGTCTGAAAAATAGGAGCTCTAATGTCCCAGGGCAGAAGATGGATGACCCAACTCAATAAAATAATTCACTCTTCCTTTGCCTTTTTTGTTCTATTTTGGTCCTTAACAGGTAGGGTAATACCTACCCAAATTAGTTACTGCAGTCACATATGTCCAGTACTGATCTCAGGATCTCTCTACTCAGTCTACCAAAATACTGTGTCTTCCAGAAACATTCTTACAGACGCACCCAGAAACAATTTCTACCAGCTATCTGGGCGTTTCTTAGCCCAGTCAAGTTGATATAAAATTAGCCACCATGGGACTCTTGATTCCATGGAGTAGAAACAGACTCGAATTAACTTAAAAATAATTTAAGGGTACTAGGAAATTCACCCAATCAAAAAGAAGGCTGGAAAATTAAACTCAGGGATTCAAGGCCCAGCTCAAACCTAGCCATGGGGACTGTGTCCTTGATCCTACCACTGGGGGGTCACCACCCTGGTCACTGGCTATCTTGCCACCCATTTTTGATTCCACCTTTGAATCATTCCCTTGAGTTATTTATAATGGGGGGAATTTGATTGACTCTGATGAAATCATGAATCTATACTTCAGCTGCTAGGGGACAAAGTAGGGAGCTGTCATGGAAAATGGTTCCCTGATTCCCGCCTGTCTAGGAATTTCACCAAGTGAGAAGTATTCCTGAAAGTTGGGTAGCCAAACAGCAAATATCCACTACAGGTGGGTATGGAATTCTAGGTTAATGGCATCATTTTCATGATACTTAATTTTTTAATGTGTATGCTTGTTAAGTTTGCTGTCATTTTCTTTTTATCTCTGGGTTTCTTTTTTTTTCTTTTTTTGAGAGAGTCAGAGTCTCACTTTGTTGCCCAGGCTAGAATGCAGTGGCTCACTCATGGCCATCCCAGAGTCGACCTGCTGGGCTCAGGCGATCCTTCTGCCTCAGCCTTCCAAGTAGCTGGAACTACAGGCATGTGCTACCATGCCTGGTTAATTTTTTGATATATTGTAGAGACGAGATCTCACCAAGTTGCCCAGGCTGGTCTCGAACCCCTGGGCTCAGATAATCCTCTTTCCTTGGCCTCCCAAAGTGCTGGGATTATAGGCTTGAGCCACTGTGCCTGGTCTATGGGTTTCTTTTAAGAATTTCTCTGTGTATACAGTTTCACCAGATATAGCTAGTAGGAATTTATTTTAACCACTCAGGACTCATTGTACCTTTTCCATTTAAAAATGTTACCCTTATATCTTTAAATATTATTTCCCTTCTATTGCTGTTGGACTTTTCCTTTATCATCCATGTCTCTTTACAGAGAGAGAGCTGTATTTTCTGATGATTTGTCTCTGCTATATTTGAATATATGTTGTTGTTGTTGTTGTTTTGAGTTGGAGTCTCACTCCATTGCCCATGTCGAGTGCACTGGCAGACTCATGGCCACCCCAGCATCAACCTGTTGGGCTCTGGCCATCCTTCTGCCTCAGCTTTCCAAGTACTGGAACTACAGGTACATGCTAACATGCCTAGCTAATTTTTTATTTATTATAGAGATGAGGTCTCGCCAAGTAGAGTGGGCTGGTCTCGAACCCACAGTTCAGGCAATCCACTCAGCTCGGCCTCCCAAATTGCTGGGATTACAGGCTGAGCCACCGAGCCCTGTTATACTGTTCTTTATATATCAAATATATTGTTCAGTTTTTAAAATTTTCTCTTTAGTTATATCAAATCTGATATTTATCTGTTTAACTACTAAGTAACTAATTTGTTTAAATAACCTGTTTGATCTTCAGTTATATATGTAATCTGATTTGTTAGTTTCAATGATTATAGTTTTATAGAGTTGTTTGGGTCTTTTCATATCTATGTGTTCTTTTTTCTGCCATAATCTTGTTTTAGGGTTTCTAGTCTTTCTTTTATCTTTTCCATTATTTGGGATATTTTTTCTTCATCACCTTGTTCAGAGACTACTCTTACTCATAGTATCTAGGTCCTATGAATCCTCTCTTGCATTCCAACTCTCTCTTCTTGAGAGAGTTTATTTCTTTGTGTGGCTGATTTTTGTTGTTGTTATTGTTGCTACTGTTGTTTTAACAGGAAGTTTTGGTTTTTTGGTAGTTGACTGGTTGGTTGTTTTTACTGAGAGTCCTTGGTACCCTGCATGGTGAAAATTTCCCTCCAGTGTTTCTCCTGGGTACTTGAAGGTATGGCTAGTAGTTTGGTAGTATTAGGTAAGATGGCAGGGGAAAAAATGAATACGTTTAGAATTATAAACCACCTCAAAGAGTTGGCCCATCTCTCCTCCCAGCATAGGTCACTGGCCTGAGTTACTGCTTGTTTCTTCCTCACGAAATCATGAAATCTGCGTGCTCTCTCCTGCTTCAGAACCAGGAAGTCTGAGAGTACAAGTAAGAAAATCCAGTTCACTCAGACTTTCAACAGCGAGGCGCCTGATTGGCTTTATGGAGTTGAAGGGGGCAGAAGTACCCAGCAGATGCCCCAGGTTCTTGTACCCATTGATGTCCGTGTCAAATGAAGAACTTCTTTCTGAAGTCTTCTCCTTACAATTTCATTTCCACCCTCCCTAGAACTCTCAAACACAGCCAGCAGTTCAATGAATCCTTTAGAACCACAGCTCTAAATATGTCACTCTCTGGTTCAGAAACCTTCAGAGGCTCGCTTTGTGCCTCTGGTAGAAAGTCCCAATTATTATGGCTGGCATTTTAGGTCTTTCATTGCTCTAACTTTATCTCACCTGATTCCTCTGTATTTATCCTTTAAACTCATTCCAACAGACTATCTTTTCCTCTCATTCCCACCCTGGTCTGTCCCTTTTCTGAATTCTTAGTGCCCACACCATTCATATTCTTTATCTAATTAATTTTAATTTTCACTTTTTGTAGAGGTGGCATCTTGCTGTGTTGCCCAGGCTGGTCTCGAACTACTGGCCTCGAGCAGTCCTCCTGCTTCAGTCTCCCAAAGTGCTAGCATTATAGGTAGCCATCATGCCCAGCCCATACTCTGATTAGCATTTGAGTTATTCATGTACACATTTCATACCACCCCTTCATTCTCTAAGTTCTTGGAGGAGGGAAGCCATGTCTGACTTATGTTCTGTTTCCCAGGGTGCAAGGCAGAAGGCATGTCCCATGAGAGCTGTTCCAGTGAGCCTCAGTGAATCAGGACACTCCCAGTCCTCTTGCTGGCAATTAGGTTAAGCCAGGCTAGTGGCTCCTGTAATGCCTGGGGCAGGTGTATATATATATATACACACACACATACACTTTCTCAGTCACAGGGAACCACTGGCTTAGGAATCATTGCTTTAATGCAAAAGAGCTCAAGACTGGCAGTGAGGCTGAAGCACAACACGAGAGATCCTCGCCCCGTGCACGGCTCCCTCGCCACTTCTGGGCCTCCCGTATAGGCCCTGCACCATCACACTCCCTTTAGTACACTCTCCTGGCCCAGAAGCTATCTTTAAATCCCCTTGCAGCTTCCAGATGATCCGTTTGAAACACGGCAAATCTTGCCTGGTACAGTGGTATCACGTGAGTGCAATGTCTTCCAAGTCAGCACCTCAGGGTGTGCTGGCATCCTGGCACACTCCTTCATAGACCTTGCACACAGCAGAGCTTACAGCATGCCTCTGTTGCAAAAAGGTGTCCATTTAAAGTCACACGTGCCCAGTACTGATCCTGGGGTGGACAAAACAAAGTATATATAACATTCAAGCAAACCATTGGGAACCTGACGGAGCTGCGGGGTGGCCACATTTGTGTCTCGCAGGGGCTTCGCTCGCTGCTGTCCTGAGTCTAGTTCAACACCCAGCACATGGCAAACTCTCCATCTAAGTTTTTAAATGAAGAAATGAATGAGTTATGGATGTCTTTTGATTTCCTTCAACAGATTACAACAGCAGCGAACTGAAGACAGCCTGCAGAAAGCATGAGCTGTATGTGAGCTTCCAAGACCTGGGATGGCAGGTGAGTTCTCTGGACAAAGGGGGACAAAGGATGTTTCTCAGCAGTTTGGTAATGGCAGCAGCCGTCACCAAAGACCTAGAGCTCTAAGGCTGAGCTGTTGCCTTTGAGGGAAGTACTGAAAAGCCCTCACAAGCACCCAGGCTCCCAGACTGAGGCAGAGAAGGGTGCAGCCTGCTGGTACACCAAGTACCCACTGATACCTTTCCAGAGTTTCTGAGCTCTGTGATCCCTCAAAATCAATAGCCACATTTCCCAATACTCTTACCTCGTTCTTTCAAAGCCCACAGGACATATATTTGGGCATTTAAACAAATTTCAATTGTGCTTTGAAACAGGGTTGGAAAAAATGACCTAATGGTTAACTTCTCCAATGGCTACAAATTGGCTCACACAGATTATCCAGAAGAACATAAACGTTTTGCCCCATACCTCAGAGCTGCCATTAGCTTGTAAGAAAAGAAGCACATTTAATCATAGGTGATGGGTGATAGAAGATAGTTTCCATATGTGGGGGCCGTGATTTTGGTAGGAGCTCTGGGGGCTCCTGGAGAGGGGTCCCCTGGGTCCAAGTACTTAAAGCTGGCCACCTGCATGTTTCCAGGCTTAATAGGCAGGTAGCAGCTGAGGCTGTGTGGGCCCATGGAAGGAGCGAGGGCTCCAAGTCAGACTGTGCAGGCTCACCTTCTAGCTTTTCCCACTCGAATGTGAACTTGGACAAATTCCTGAGTGTCTCTGCATTGTCTCCTTGCCTGTCCAAAGTGAATAGTGCCTTCTCATTGCATGACTGAAGGCACAGATGGTACGAGGAGTGTGGCTTAATCCTGTGTTGCTTCCTTTTGCTTTAAATCAAGGACTGGATCATTGCACCCAAGGGCTATGCTGCCAATTACTGTGATGGAGAGTGCTCCTTCCCGCTCAACGCACACATGAACGCGACCAACCACGCGATCGTGCAGACTTTGGTGAGCTTTCGGTGACTTGCCTCTGATAAGCAGGACTGAGCCAAGCTCAGGTGTCATTTCTAATGGTATTTTCCTCCTTCTGTTGCGGAACAGGTTCACCTTATGAATCCCGAGTACGTCCCCAAACCGTGCTGTGCGCCAACTAAGCTAAATGCCATCTCGGTTCTTTATTTTGATGACAACTCCAATGTCATCTTGAAAAAGTACAGGAATATGGTTGTAAGAGCTTGTGGATGCCACTAACTCAAAACCAGGTGTAAGGGGACACACGCTCTGCCTTGGATCCCTGGATTCCATCTGCCTTAAAACCACGAGAAGCACAGTGCAAGTGGGATGCCACACCCCAGAGACTGTCTCATGCCAGTGCCTTACTGCCTAAGGAGGACTTTAAAGGACCTCATTAATTTGCTCACTGTGTAAATGATGTGAGTAGCTGTTGGTCTGTAGGAAGCTGAGTTTGAATGTCTGTAGTGTTTTCTGGTAACTGCAGAAACAAAACTTTAAGGCCTCCCCTCCCCCAAAAGCCCCACCAAAATTAGGGTTAGCTATAAATCAAGCTATGCAGGGTGTTAGTGAGTGAATAGGGAAAATAATCTCAAAGGAGTAAAAGTATTCTTGCCTAAAGTAGCAGCCAGTTCAGTTCCATCTGATTTTCCATGTAACAGAAATTGGGGAAGTGGGGGGAATGCCTCTGTTCAGAAACTTCATTCCCAGGAAGGCTGACTGCGTATCAGGTCAATGCCTGGGCTGTGCTGTAAGCAGGGCTGTAAGGAGGTGCCTTTTGTCTCAGTCATTGCTGTTGTTTGTGCCGGAATTTTGTTGGTGTGAAAAGATACTTCTTTCCGTCATAACAAACCATATCATTTCCATACTCTGGTCCTTCATTTGCTGTCTTCTCTGCAAGTACCAAAAGTAGACCGGTCATACCCCAAGGGGAGGCTGCCCAAGGGGAGCAGCATTTGTAATAGCCTTGTTATAACCATGTAATGGTGGAAGCCATCGTGCGCCTCTTTACTGAAATGGCTCTTTGACAAGCACATTAACTTTAGAACACCGACTCTAATGGCTCATCTCCTTCAGTAAATGGTTCTTTGCCTTTTACCGTATGGCCTTCCATGTCACAGGGTTAGAACCAACAGAGGGAATAAACTGAGGAAAGGCGCTCAGCCTTCCAGAATGGGCTTGGGGGATGAGCATGCTGTTTGTGAACTGAAATCAGGATTTTCTCTTGTAGGACGTAAGACTCAGATTAAATTTTAGAATATTTTTTAAATGTCTTTTTCACAATCATGTACTGGGAAATGAATTTCATACTAAACTGATTAAATAATACATTTATAATCTATAACTGTTTGCACTTACAGCTTTTTTTGTAAATATAAACTATAATTTATTGTCTATTTTATATCTGCTTTGCTGTAACATTGAAGACCAGACTTTTTAAAAAAGAGTTTATTTAGAAAGTATCATGGTGTAAACAAATTGTACCACTTTGATTTCCTTTGAATACAAGACTCATGATGCAAAGCGGAAGCCACTCGGATGCTTGTGCTTCTCTAGGAAGTTGGGTTTTTTAAAAGAACATCTGTGAACCGCGTAATTAATAAAGATTTCCTTTAAGGCAGAGGCTGGTTGAGACGCTGCTCTGTTATCTTCTACCTCAGACAGTATAAGTAGTCCTGTTTCTAAGGTTTCCACCACCAGTTACTTTGGGCAAAGTGTCGACATCCCTCTGCACGTGGGCGGTGGGTGAAGGGTGTTGGACACAAAGTGGTCATTATGAAAAGTAACCTGATAGTAGAGGACAGACAGACACCTCTCTCAAAGGAGCTTAGTCCTACAACTGCTTATTTCCAAAGGTGACTGTAAAAGTGTTAAGTCACGAGGATGGCATCAATGGCTGACATGGCCATGCACACCAGTGTCAGAGCAGTCCTGCTGACATCTGTCTTTGGTCTTGAAATCAAATGAATCCCACTCTTCATACATTAGAAGGTCGACCTCCTTGAAGCAGACAAAGTAAAGCAAGCCTCTAAAAGGACTACTTAGGAGCAGAATCGGACACTAGTTAGGGCCCCATAGCAAGACTACAGGGTCTCCCTGGTCTGGTCTTGTCACCCCAGGTGGCAAAGACAAACAGAATCTTTCTATGAGCTAATGGAATGGTCGGAATGAGCCTCATGGAACTTTCCGTGCCTATACTTTCTACAGAAGACATCCAATCTTAAAGTTCACGTGGACTTTGGCTTTGTGTTGACATGACAAACTCATGAAGTGTTCCACCCCATGAGAAACAAACAGAAGGATCCCTTGAACAATAACAACTGATTTGACAAGTATGGACACACATGTAAAATTATGGCATCAGACTTATCATACTCAGGCACATGTCAAAAGTACTGCTGCTTTCATATGGCTAACCTCTCATGATGAGAGAAGTATTAACAGAAACAGAAAATCCAGTAGTGGCCATGAAGGTATCTTCCAGAGGTGTGGGGTTTTCGTTTTTAAATCTGCTCCAAACTATGGGCCAACCATATTATTAATGAGTCAATTGTGACCTTCAGATCAGAGGAACATCAGTACTGCCACAAGGCCACCTTTCCAGAACTCATGGGCAGTTAAAAAATGATGCTTGGATGATGCTTTCACCAGAATCACTCAGGAACCAAAAATAGTCCAGTAATTTGATTTTCCTCAACTCTATTTTAGTCTCAAAGGAAACCACTTAAATTTCATCAAGAGAAGGTTCAAGGGGGTATATGGCCACTGAAAATATTTAGTTTACACAGTGACCATGAGTGAAACTTAATAAAGAATCCGTAGAGTGTGTTGGCTTAAAAAACACACAAAGAAGATACCACAAGTTTAGTATGTTCAGCTTCCTGAATAGCCTCCACTGGAAACTCGGCAACATCTGCATGACTTAACTCCCATACACGGGGTAGGAGGCCAGGCAGCAGCGGCAACTTCCAGCTGGGCTTCTAGAGTTCGTCTTTCGCCTGTCCCAGAACAAAGCGGTGTAAAGAATCCAGGTCTCTGCCGCCACTGTGCTCACTGACTTTCTTTCCTCCACGGAAAAGCAACAATGTAGGATAGCCTCGTACCTTAAAAAAAAAAAGAGGAAAGTCTGCAAACCAGTGGTCGGTATCACACAAAAACTGCTTCTTAAACAAAACCAGATAAACTCCTACAGTTTTGGCTGACAAATTCTGTGACGAATTTTAAAGGTGAACAGACCATTTAAAAAGTATCAGCTAGTTTACAAAGCAAAACTGTGGGGGCTGTGTATTCACTTTCCAATCCAAAATGACACTCAAGATTAGTGTCAATGCATTGGTATGACCTCGAAGTAGAGCTTCTCTATTTTCAACATGCATATACTCGCCTGCTGGGGATCTGGTGAAAATGCAGGTTCTGAGTCAGCAGGTCAGGGGTGGGGCCTGGGAGTCTGCATTTCTGAAACGCTCCCTGGCGATGCCCTGCTGGTCTGCAGACCACACTGTGAAAGCAAGAGCCTCAAGGATCCACGTTTTTTTAGCTGCAACTCACCTCTTTTTTATTAATTTTAAGGCACAAAAAACTGGTATCTGTTAATAAGTAAGCAATGTCTGGGTTACATCTATTCTCAATCTAGTGAGGTCATAAACTTCAGAGGCTCCAAAAGTGTTTTAAGAAAATAACACAAAAGGAAAATATAAATGATGAAACTTCTGGGCCATTAGGCTGTGCCACCCAGCCTGGAATGAAGGCAGCAATTAAACAACCCAAGCACGAGACTGGCTTGCTGGCGTGGCCCTTCCAGAAGGAAGTTTATATTTAACTTTCTTATTTGGCCACTGCATTTCAGAATGCTGGCTTACATGTGGAAAAGGAGACACTCAGATACTTCTGGCGGAGGTGACAAGCGGCTGCTGGTCAATCAACAAGAGTGGCCATGTAGGCATTTACTCAGTTACTGTACAGTCTTATACTCAGATAGCAAGGCAGCAAACTCTTACTGAAATGTGGATACTAAATAAAAGCAGGCAGAGAGGAAGAATGCCTCTCCTTTGAGAGATTATCTCTTTTGCTTCTCAAAACAACTCAAAATGACACAAAAACAGCTTTGTTGGGAGGATGAAGACGGAGTGAGTTATCTTGGTTGAGTCCACAAGACTGAATTTCAGCTCCACTTGGGATCTGCTCCCAAGACTGAGAGTCCCCATAAGTGTTTTCATCCCAGTGTACTCACCGAGTACTTGCTGCAAATATTCCGCTCAGCAGTGCAGTCTACTTCAGCGATCTTGATCTCTGCCAAACCAGGGAATTCCTTTTTAGAGAGTTCCTCCCAAGTAGGAGCCAGATTCTTACAATGACCACACCTAGGATAGAACAATGGCAGCTTTGTTGAAGTCTTGTGTCGGGATGGGTCACCTACACTTTGCTGCCAAGACTAGCCCTGTTTCTTCTGTCTGAGACGGTTAACAATTGCCCAGAAATTTATAAAACATCAAATTCTCCTGGGTGCACACTAACTCTTTGAATTCAAAGTCAACCCAAAGCAGACTTTCAGATAACCTGATAGAAGCCAGCCAGTCTGAAAACAAGGTGAGATTCTGAGACCATTTTCAGACTCTGGTAAATTGTGTTAACTGGCTCACAGACGTGCCATGAGCAGAAGATGAAGGGAAAAGAAACAGAAGCTATGCAATTTCTAAACAGCCACTTAGGTGCTAAAGACGTTTTAGATTTTATTGCTGTGGTCTCAAAATTTCAAAGCTTCCTGGATGTCTCAGCAATTGGTGTGAGTACCAAGGCCACAACTAAGTTTGGTTCAAACCCTCCCTTTTGGAGCTGGAGTCTCACTCCATCACCCAGGCTGGAATGCAGTGGCACGCTGACGGCCACCCCAGTGTGTCAACCTGCTGGGCTCTGGCGATCCTTCCGGCTTAGCCTTCCAAGTAGCCAGAACTACAGGCGCGCGCTACCATGCCTGTCTAATTTTTGACTCATTGTAGAGACGAGGTCTCAACAAGTTGCCTGGGCTGTTCTCGAACCCATGGGCTCAGGCCATCCACTCCCCTCGGCTTACCAAAGTGCTGGGATTACAGGCTAAGCCACCGAGCCCGGCCCAAACCCTCCCTTCTGCCCCTGACTTTATCCCCTTTGCCTTTTTTACCCTCCCTGCCCGCCCTCCCCCACTGTGAACGGCTCCCTCTTGCTTCTTACTCCATCTATCTAGCTTTAAGGCTTTGGTGAAATTGAAAATAAGTTCAAAGGCACTATTTACTAACTTTCTGTTCTTTAAGAATAAAAACTTTGAGTTGTGTGCTCATTACCTTTTTACCCCTGCTGTTACAGTTTCTCAGGAATACATGGAGTGAAACAAATTAAGAGCTGAAGTGACGTGTTTGCCATGTTCGGATAAGAACCTAATACTCTCCCAAATACTCTACCGTGCTTTTCCAAAGGGAATGGTTTATATGTGAAGACAAAGGGTGATTTCCGCTCTACAGCCGAGGAAACCGAGGTCCATAGGAGCTAAAGGACACTCAAGGTTACAGTGGTTCACGGTAAGTCCTGGAACCAAAGTGGCCTTGGTCTCCAACTATGTGCAATCCATTTATGCTCCAGGCTCCAAGACTATGTGGCAGGAAGGTCCGGGAAATCGGGTCATATACTGAATGGCTCGAACGGAAAGTTGACCTCTACTGGATTTCCTATTAACATAATTTAAACAGAACTGAGAAGCAAAGCTACACTGTGATGCTCAGTGTGTAACTAAAACTATAATCTATTGGGAAAAGTACACAGATGCCACAAAACTTAATCTGGCTTCATAATATGTCTCCCTTTTTATGTTTTCTCCAAAGTTGATTGAGTTTTAAAATAAATTAGCCTCTTTCTCTATAAATATTTGTGGAAACCATTGAACTTGAACATATTTGAATACAGCAGCATGAAGACGTTTATTTCCTACAACGTGACCTATGTGTAAACATCATGTGTCCACCATGGAGTCTGAGGGTTACCTGATGAGTTGAAAAACACGTGTGACTTGGCACACTAGGACAAAGTAGTTTCTCGTTACACAGCAACTTACCACGGAGCATAGAACTTGATGAAGGTTATTCCTTCTGCAATGGTGTCATCGAAGTTACTCTCAGTGAGTGCCAGCACAGTGCCCTTCAGAGGAGGAAAATGTCACAGTTCAAGCATATCCTCATTTTAGAAATGCTATTACGCATGTTCCAGAATCACAGAAACACCCACACAACTTGCATTTCACAAGCTAAATGCAAGGTCAGGCTGGCGGCCTCCCTAGAGCAGAGGTCAACACAGGGCCCTAGGACCTGAGCCCAGAAGATGCGGCAAGGAAGTGGCAGGATGGTGCATAGGTAGGCGCTGTGTTCCGGGAGCCACGGCCGGCTGAGAACTCTGGGGAGATACTCCCAGGCCGCTGTCCTGCCACTGTCCTCCGAGGCCCTGGGGAGGAGTCCTGTCAGCCTGGGTGCTCTGGGCTTGCCATCTATCCCTCCAGGCTTGGAGCCTCCAAGAGACCCACTGCCTGATCCACCTGAAGTCTGATTTTAAGCTGCTTTCTCAATGGCCACACGACTCTCCTGACACACATATTCGTGACAATTTATCTTCTCCATGTAACAGAAGGGACCTAGTTACAAAAGCACAGGCTTCTTTCTACGTTCGTGTTCAAAGTAGTGAGGAAAACGCTGATGGAGGTTTTGGCCGGATCCCTTAGAGGAGAGACCCTGCACGGCCATCTGCTTCACAGGGAATCTCCCGACAACTCTGTACAGAATTATTTCTGTTTCCCCAAAAGCAGGATCTGGGAATCTCTTCTTAGAGCAGGACAGGGATGACTGATCACATAGCTGAGTGCACCAGGGCTGCTGCACTTGAGTTTGGCATCCAGCAATGCATGTCAGGGGTGCGGAGGCAACGCGCGGCCACACGGGCCATCGCGGAACACAACTATCTTTATGTCCAGAAACATGATGCTGTGCTCACTGACAGACCCACTAAATGATGGAAACCCGAATTACAAATAGAACCAGCTCTGTGACGAAAACATCCATGGTATATAATTATACTCAATTTGGGATGACCTTTATAACCACCATGACACACACACTCCTCTAACATATGTGGTCGTAACAACTACAAAATCATTTGTTTACCTCTTAAACCAAGGTATTAACTTTTAACTAACACCCAGGCCATCCCTGGCCTACAAAAGTCCAACTAAGGACGGGGCTGTGGGGTGAGCAGGCTCTTTACTGCCCCACCCTGGGAGGTTTCCAATTTCACATAGCTGAACTTGGGAAGTGACGTCCCCAGCGAGTCATGTTCTCTTAGGTAAATGTTGAGAGTTCAGAATCTCTGGGTCATTGTTCTCACCCCAGGGAACAGGAGCATGCTGCCCCTTCCTGTGCCCCTAGTGTCCCACTATCCCAGGTGAAAACCTGACATGCTCTGAAGCATAGTTGTGGGAACTTAAATAGCAACATGCGTACTCTGCTTTGGAAACATGTTGACAGATAGACCCATGGCTGCTAACTGGGAAGCCTGGGCATGATTTCCTGGGAAAACACTTTTTATTTTATTTTTTTATTTTTTTATTTTTTTTTTGAGTTGGAGTCTCACTCTGTCACTCAGACTGGAGTGCAGTGGCCGCTCCTGGCCACTGCAGCCTCGACCCGCTGGGCTCCGGCGATCCTTCCGCCTCAGCCTTCCAAGTAGCCGGAACTACAGGCGCGTGCTACCACGGCCGGCTAGTTTTTGATTTATTGTAGAGATGAAGTCTCTCCAAGTTGCCCAGGCGGGTCTCGAACCCGCGTGCTCAGGCAGTCCACTCACCTCAGCCTCCCAAAGTGCGGGATTACAGGCTGAGCCACCGAGCCCGACTGGGAAAACACATTTTAACTGCCATTGACTTGTACCAATGGCTTCAGTGTCACTTCTATATCAAGGGGATGACACAAGTTTGCTCCCCTAGTGCAGCCCTCCTGCCATGGCTCCAGACTCATATATTTTACTGTCCACTAGACCTCTCCACCTAAGTAACCCACAGTCCTAAAAATCAATGTCTGAAAACCAAGCTCATTGCCTTCCTCTCACTCTGGCCCTACCTTTGTGCCCGGGACCATCCTACATCAGATACAGCAGGAATCTGAGACTCAGCTCAGACCATCCTTCCTTCCCTCCCACACTGGGAGCTGCATTCGGTGGACTGGACTCCTCCTGCTTGCTTCCTCCTCCCAACCCACCAGGGGCTCGCATTGCTCGTGGCCTAGTGCAGCTGCTCCCGTCTCCACGCATGCTGCTGCAGGCCATTTTTCTACACATCCATCTGCTCAAAACCCTCCAGGGCTTCCTATGAGTAAGGGACCCCTGGCTGGCCTCCCACGCCCTCCACACTCCAGCTCCCACCTCTTCTCCTCCTGGGAATCTGACACTGCACCCCAACCTGCTCCCCACTGTTGTCCCTCCACCCCAGCCTGGCCCTGCTGGAACATGCTGGCGACTTGCATGGCCGCACCTCTGTGTCTATGTCCCTCCATGGCAGCCTTGCCCACTCCATCTGTCTAGCAAACACTGATCCATCTTTCAGCTCTTTGAAGACACTTCTTGCCCATCTGCCCCCACCTCTCTCCAGCAAGTGACCGGCCCTGCACACACTTATGTCCTAACCCCTGTGACATCTGTTTTTTTTTGTTTTGTTTTGTTTTGTTTTTTTTTTTTGAGTTGGAGTCTCACTCTGTCGCCCAGACTGGAGTGCAGTAGCCGCTCCCGGCCACTGCAACCTCGACCTGCTGGGCTCTGGCGATCCTTCCGCCTCAGCCTTCCAAGTAGCCGGAATTACAGGCGCGTGCTACCACGCCCAGCTGATTGACATCTGTTTTTATGTGCTCCCACCACCTGCCCCATAGACCCGGCCATGCTTCCCAGGCAGGAAACTGTGTTGTTTGTTTTCATTTCCTGGTGGCCTAGTACAGCACCTGGACCATAACAAGGGTTTGATGGAACAGAATGAAGGAACCTAAGACCTTACATGCTCTAAATGAGTGAAGATAGGCTCCAGCGCATCAGAGGCTACCTGACCAAGTTAATAGCCTACAGTAGCTGGTCTCTCAATCCCACTGCAGACGCCTTCTCTGCACAGATCTTCCAGGGTAAAGGTATAATGAGCGGAGCAACCCACAGAAATGAACAGAAACAGGGGCCCCAGGGGCAGCAGCTAATATTTCACAGCAAATATCCCCCAAGTACAGTCATGCTCCAAAATGACTGAATCAAAAAGGAAGAAGTCTCTAGAAATTTTTGACACCAAATGCAGTCTTAGAATTTGTCTCACAGCTATTTCAGATTTTCAAAAGGGAAGCTTTTATGTTTTTCCCTTTAAAGCATGTAAAAGAAGATAAAGAAAATGTTTCATGTTGAAAAGGCAACCGTAGCCAACCACCAGAATAAATCTGAACTGCCCCCACACTGTCATTTTACCCAATTTGAGGAGAATGCCTTCTGTGGGCAGGCAGGCAGGCGGCCGGGGACCATTTTTGGTGATTCCAACCATGGCAGGCACTCACCCTGTCAGCCTCAGGCTCGGCCGCCAGCGCTGGGGCCTCTGAGGGTGGGATGGTCTCCGCAGCACCTGTCTCCGTGCTCTGCAGCTGCGCCTCCACGTACTCTCTCAGGGACTCCAAATCCCGCTTTCCCTTGTACTGGTCAATCTGCCCGAGACATGAGCCATAGGGGAGTCTGCTGAATGGGTATACCCCAGACTGCCACTTGCCTGTATCCAATGCCCCCAGATGTCTTAGCTATGATACGGATGTCGTACAATGTCTGTGTGCTCACATTTAGACAAGGATGCAGAGACTATAAACCAAATGTCTTGGCTTCGGTGAGAGAACTTTACAGATCTCCTTCCTCTGTGAAGTGACACATCATCAAAATCTAGGGTGAAGTTCTGCCAGTGAACTATCATACTGATTGGGAAATTCTGAGCAGCTGACCATCGGCCAGAGACAGAAGGAAGCAGAATCTTACCACGGACAGCATTAACCCTGTTCAAAATCATGGAAGGTTAGTGCTCACGACCAGAACATAGCTACACTATGACTGTGGATCTGGGTTATTCTAGTGATAACTTGAGCTGCTCAGTGTTCCGAGACAGTATAACAAGTGACACCTTTTTTTAACTACCCAAATCTTACCAATTACAAGACATTTGTTCTACTATCTGTATCCCTCCAGACCCACACCCAGTCAATACTGGCAATTCACTGTACCCGTTAAACCACCCAACAGCTTAGCCTGCTGGGGTTAAGAAACTCAGAATTCTGTCTCAAGACGTACCTTCTTCCCATCTCGGAACCAGAGGAGAGTGGGGTAACCGCGAACCTGGTTTCCCGAGCAGAGTTCATAGTGCTGTGTACAATCAACCTAGAAGCAAAAGAAGATAAACATCCCCGTTTCCTCATGCACCTTCTTGCTAAAGGAACTACTGGACACTAGTACTCAAACAAAACTTTTTTTTTTAAAGCCAGGTTCTGTAGCATCTCTGCCAGCAAGGTACAGTTTTTGGAGAGACGTTTCCTAAAAGCCACCCCCAAAATACACCCAGGCTAAAGGGAGCAAGGTGAGATTTACTTCAGAGATAAGATTTATTGTAGCTGAGTTAAAAATCCCACTTTTTTAGGAAACAAACATTTCAACATAAGCAGGTTAGCAGCTGGAGTCAGGAGGCCTAGCCACACAACTGGGAGCTCTAGCCTGGGCTATTGGCAGCTGAGCCCCAGACCAGTTCATATGCCAGCTTGAAGACGTACTCTCATGCTCAAACTTAAGAGTTTTTTTGTTTTTTTGACTGACTGACTGACTGATTGATTGACTATAGAGGCGAGGTCTCACCAGGTTGCCCGAGTTGAACTTACAGAGTTTTAAAATCAAGGGGGAGTAAGCAGTCAACTTTAAACAGGAGTATTTGGCATATACTAAAGGTGAAACTAAAAAGATGTCAAGATTATAATTTGTCCTTAGCTCTATAAAACTTAATTTACCAACTATCACAGCTCTTCAAGTGCTTTATTTCACTTAAATCTCTTATATTCTGCTTGCCCAACATTTTCATGAAACATTTTATTCTCAGTTACTTGTTTGTTGATTTCTACCAGCATTAACATCAGTTAGGTAGGACTAAGCTGTTTTTCACCATGTCAGCAAAGGAGGGTAAAAATTATTTCAGCATATCACTGTAGTCAGAAAGCAGCTAATGTGTCAGACTGAAGCACAGAAAGCCTCAGCCTAGGGTCTGTGGAGAGGACAAGCATATTTAAAGGTCATGTCTAACCCAGCCACATGTGACCAGAGATGAGGGCCACAGCATGGTTACCTAGGCTTAGGTCTGTTCCCTCTTGGGTCTGCTAGGATCCTCTACTGACATAAATGGAAAGTAATCTCCCATAAAAGTTCATAAAGTAATTTAAGGATGCAAGGAATGGAGTAAGATAGAAGACAAGATGACTGTTTTATAATTACTTCCATAAAATGTTCCATAAATATACATGTATAATCACAACACATAGTTAGACCATATCACTGAAACTGTTTAACAGGCAACAGTGAAAAATCTATTTAACTAATAGTAACAACAGTGATTACGATTTATCACGTTAGCGTTTGTTCCACGCTGCACGTCATACTAAGCAGTGTACTTTCATCAGTCACCACATGGTACACCTCAGCTCAGTATGCAAAGGCGGAGACTGAGGCATGGAGAGATCTTGTCCAAGGTCAGCCAGTCAGCTCCATCCAACCCCCAAGTTATACTTCTGACCATCTCATGATCCCAGGTAGATCATCCTTTTGTAGCTATTGTTCCTAGACGATATTACTCTGTATATAAATCAGCCCCACGGAAAGGCAGCAAAATGAGATTTTGAAAAGGAAATCCACACAGGGTGTCTGGCAGGTGTCGGGAAGATGAAAGAGGGTAAAAGTGATGGCCCCAGAGTTGCTCTGGATATTTCCAGAAAATCCGGTTACCCTGAAGTTATCACATATCCCTTCTGACTTCTCTCTGAAGTGAGAAATGCACAAAAAAACCCACGCAGCAGTGCACACTGAGGCAGGGTCTTCTGTGTGTCCGTGTGGGGACAGCACTGAGCATCTTTTAGGAAAGGATCTCAAGTAAGATCAAACGTGGATGGTCTCTAAGTGCGTCTAGTGAACATCTACAAGTCTCTACCCCGTATCTTTGCAGAACGAGGTCTGGGGCTGCCAGTTCAGAATTGGCCATCTCTTCAAAATAAACAAAGCAACTGAGACCATAATTTATCTCTAGCCTGTGGAAAAAGCCAGCAAAATTCAAAACAAGGCTGCCATCTGTGAAGGTGAAATGAATTATCAAGTGGCACACTAAATGGAATTAATAAATCAAGTTTGCGACTTTGCACACAGAATGAATAATGGGCAACTCTGCTAATTAATCCAGCCAAAAACGGTCCATTTCCAGTTTAATAAGGATTTTCGCTTACCTTGCCAATCTTGACAGTTTCGGAATGTTCAAGGCCCAGAGCCAGCTGCTCCCAGGTCGGAGCCAGAGCTTTGCAGTGACCACACCATGGAGCGAAGAACTTGATAAAGTGGTCGCCTTTAGTGAAGAGCCAAGGCAGAGAAGGGGAAAGAGGGACTGTAATTTACGTCAGACCTCACTAGAGATTTTTGAAGAATCAGATCTTTGTCCTTTGCTTAGCAAATCTCAGTTTGGTGTGAGACCTTTAACTGGTGCAAAGCGACTCTCCATCAACTATGTTTCTATCTACAAGTTCCTAACAATACTCAAAACCAAAATTGTCATCTTTGATGGACAACTGGGAACAAACTCATGATCTGGAAAACTAGCAGCAAAGGGAACGAGCCGGGCGTTTCTCCTGCCTTTCCCACATGCACGATACCACTGCATAACCCCATGACAAGTGAGGGCGAGCCTCTCTTGCTTAAAACACGAAGGAACACTTGGCTGAGGGCACTAGCACTCGGCAACCCTCATACGTGAACGGGCCTAGGTCGGCAGTGACTGTCACAGCCTTCTGCATCCTGAGAGACAACTGGACATTCTGTGTAACTGCCAGCTAGGAGATCTTTCCAAACTGACATTGCTTACATCTCCAGACCCTACTACCAATTTACAGAAAACAGAGAGATCAGGGAAACACATAAACCACACCATGGGGAGGCCATCAGCAAAGGCCAGACCATGAGCAGCTCTATGGGTCAAACCCCCTTTGTTCTTGGCAAGAAAGAAAGGGATGCTTGGGGAACATGTGGCCCAAAAGAGCCTCAAAAGAGATACTGTAGTGCTCATGAATGCACACCTGAGTGAAGAAACCATAAAGAAAAGGAGTAGTTTCCACAAAAGTCAGGAATGTGCCCCCTGGGGTGAGGGGGAGGAAGGGTGTGACTTGAGTGGGTACCCGAGGCTGGCAGTTTAATTTCTTGACCTGGACAGTGGTACAAAGTAACTGCTCCGTAACAATGTACTAAGCCCTACATTTATCTTCCTTATCTGTGTTCTAGTTTACCTGAAAATAGAAGATTTAAAAAACCTTATCACCCCTTTGGCTATGGGAATCAAAAAATCAAACCCTCATAGCATCATTATTTCGACATTGAAGATCTTTATCTAGGCTGTTCCACTTAGATGTCAGACTAATACCAAACCGAAATCAGGCTGTGTTCAGGAAGAAAACTAACCAATGGACAGTGAAAGGCGGTCTGGCCTCCAACCAGGGCTCTGCCCTACTAGCAGTCATGGCTGCTGCTTCTTCACCACTGCAATGATGTGTTTGACAAAACTGGTGAAAAATTTGTTTTAGAAAACTAGCAACTGACATTCAAGGCTGAAACCTTATCTGCCCAAACAGGTGCATTGCTAACCTTGTTCTGTACACTGGAGACAATATCTTCAGGAACCCCATCAGAGGATTAGTGAGAAATCAGCGAGGGCAGGAAGCTACTGCTGTTTTCTGAGGAAAGACCCACATGCTGTGGCACAGCACGATATCTATGTGACATGGCCTGGCAGCAGTGACTTGCTTTAGGAAGGGGCTGCTGGGCTTGCAGGAGGCAGTCTATAACAAGGGAATGGGGAACACATCCTGCGTGAAGCCTAAGCCCGTCTCGGTTTACAGTGAATCCCCACAGGGGAAAATATGCCTAGGCTCCCCAGTTGGAGCACTGGTATAGACAAAATGACAATTTGAGTAAGAATGGGAAGAGGCTGACGGCCATGCCGTAAGTCATCCTAGGCAGTCGGTATGGTGGGAGGAGGGGCTCTAATTCCCAGCAGGCACAAGTTAAAGGCCAGATACAATTCTAAGCCCTTTCTCACATTTTCAAGCCAGTCTTCGAGGGGATTTCTCTCCATGGTAGCATTTGATAATGGGAGCCAGCCAGGAAGCTGACTGTGCTTCCAAGTCGTTTGGTGTTGAGCCAGCTTTTCCAAAAAACATCCATGGGTGAATATAGGAGACTTACATACTATTCACATTAGAGATGCACAGGATCATTTTGGGATTAGGACACCATTTTCAAAATTGAGGTGTGGCACAGAAAGATGTTTTAAGTACAAAGAATACCTAATTTGCTGGGTGCAGTGGCTCATACCTCTAATCCCAGCACTTTGGGAGGCTAAGGTGGGAGGCTTGCTTAAGCCCAGGAGTTTGATACCAGCCTGGGCAAAATGGTGAGACCTTGTCTCTACAAAAAAGAAAAATAAAGAATTAGCTGGGTGGGGTGGTGTTCACCTGTAGTCCCAGCTACTCGGGAGGCTGGCCCAGGAGGACTGCCTTGTCCAGGAGGTCAAGGCTGCAGTGAGCCATGATCATGCTACTGCATTCTAGCAAGAGTGACATCCTGACTAAAAAAAAAAAAAAAAAAAAAAAAAAGACTATCTAATATGATTCATGGTCTCATTAAATTCTGTTTAAATAGATAAGAGAAGCTTTTGTTTCTGCCTAAAGCCAATAAGCATATGATTAATATTAACACACAGGATCCCTCGGGGACACAGCGGGGTTGGTTTGAGACTACTGCAATAAGTCAAGTCAAACAAATGTTTTGCTTTCCCAATGCATATCCAAGTTATGTTTATATTAGACTGTAGTCTAAGTGTGCAGTAGCATTATGTCCCAAAAAACAATGTCCACACCTTAATTAAAAAATACTTCATTCCTTTGGGAGGCTGAAGTGAGTGGACTGCCTGAGTCCGCAGGTTTGAGACCCACCTGGGCAGGCAAGACCTCATCCCTACAACAAAACCAAAAAATTAGCCGGGCATGGTAGTGTACGCCTGTAATTCCGGTTACTCGGAAGGCTGAGGCGGAAGGATCGCCGGAGCCCAGCAGGTCGAGGCTGCGGTGGCCAGGAGCAGCCACTGCACTCCAGTCTGGGCAACAGAGACTCCAACTCAAAAAAAAAAAAAAAAAAACTTCATTGCTAAAAATGCCAACAGAGGGACATAAAGTATCTGCTGTTGGAAAACAGCTAGACTTGCTCGAGGCAGGGTTGCTGCAATCTTCAATTTGTAAAAAATGCAGTATCTGCAAAGTATAATAAAGCAAGGTGTGCCTGTAAGTAAACACTCTCTTATTCGGGGATGCACTGTCCTGCTGGTGTGCCAGTGAAATGTGTCCACTCACGATCTGTGAGTTTGAAATGTCCACACCTGAGGCTTTAGTTTTACATCAGACCTGGCATTTCCATAAGGGCAGAGACAAAAAGAGAAATCATGTCCAAGAGGAGGCACATTAAACGATGGTCCTCATAGGTCGAGGAGAGAAACCTTGCGTCTGTGCCACCGATGCTGCTATAGAGAGCCCTCAGGTGGCAAGGAGGAAAAGCTCTGCAAGTCAAGGGTGACAACGGTTCTAGCAAGCCAGCATCTACCACAAATGCCCATGAGCCTTGCCACCTTACCTTGTGTAACATGCAGCTCAAAGTTGCTCGCTGAGAGCTCGTACAACCCCTGCTTGAGCTCAGGGGCTCTGGGAGGTTCCACTTCTGGCTCTGGTGTCTAATAGAAAGAAACAAAACAAGTCACTGGGTTTGTCCATGAATATATAGTGCAACTTATCGAGGAATTCGCCTGTATCCATCTAGAAACTCCTGCAGATGCCCTCCCTCACCTGACCACCTTGAAAGTCTGTGTGATGCTGCCATGTTGAGTGAGGCCAGGACAGGAAGCCTCAGCAATAAGTTCTTGCCAGCCTCACCCTTGGCAACAGCTCTAGGTCTCAGGCTCCAGGGCAGCTGGTGACAGCTAGAGCTACCACCAATCCAACCAAAGAAAGTAAAGTGAAGGACAGGCTCACTCCATAACCCGTCCCCTTCTTTGTAATGTATCCTGAGATTTCACACAGAAGACAAAATACAATCCCAATAGACTCTGAAGGGATTAGTACCCAAATGCAAAGGGTAGTCAAATGGACAAAATGAGACTCTACCATGGAGTGGGAGGGCCTGGTTATCCCTAAATCACATGAATGGTAGGAAAAACTGTGAAGGAAGGCAAAATTGAAAGACAATGAAACAGAAAAGTAGATGATGAAATGGAAAACCTAGATGAATGAAAGAGAGTAAAGAAAAAATCATGAAGAAAGCTTAAACTGTGCTTTTTGAGAAAGAATGCAATTCACGTGATGAAGTTTGGGTCTGAAACCACAAAGAGGAGCAAGTGGCTTTTTAAAAAGTGCTTCTGGTCAGATGTAGTGGCTCATACCTACAATCCTAGCACATTGGGAGGGTAAGGTGAGAGGACTGCTAAAACCCAGGAATTCAAGACTGTCCTGGGCAACATAGCAAGACCTCGTCTCTGCAAAAAAACATGAATATATAGCTGGGCATGGTGGTACACGCCTGTATTCCTAGCTATTCGGGGGCTGAGGTAGAATGAGCCTAAGAGGTAGAATGAACCCAAGAGGTCAAGACTGCAGTGAGCTATAAGCACGCCACTGCACTCCAGCCTGGGCAACAGAGTGAGACTCTTAAAAAAAAAAAAGGTGCTTCTGCTAGTATCCAAGCAGATACCAGTGTACACAGATATAAGTGACACAGTACTACGCAATTCCATGTTCGCCATTTTGAGGCCAGGCACAGCAGTGGCTACCAACCAAAGTAACCAGAAGTGAGGAAAAGATCATTGAATTGCTGTTATGCTGCAGACACAGGGGTATATTTTACTCAATTTTTATCTGGTGGTTCATATTGCTATTAAAAAGAATATCCAAGTTAAGTTGTTAAAGGCTTTAAAGGTGTTGGCAGTTCAAAGCTGTGCAGCGTTGTAATCACAGAGCACCATAAAGTTTTCCTTTCTGCTGCTAGCTTGTCAAAACTTTCCAAGTGCTAAGTACCCGCACAGAAGAATGCCTGAGAGAATGACGGCTAAGTGAATAGTCAGTGAGCTCAGAGAAGGTGAAAGAAAACACTGTGTGGCATCTGTCATGAGACTTGAAGACTTTCAGTGTGACAGTGTTCACTTATGGCATCTTCGGGGCACTACCACCACTTCCTGTGCTGCTTGGCCTACTCCAGAGCAGGCCCTGCCATCATGAGAACACCACAGTGGATCACAGAGATGGGCACAGTCGCACTCTGCTGGTAACAGTGTCAGCTGATAGGATTCTTAAGAAGGCAATCCAGCAACATGCAAGAGCCATAATAATGATTTTGCCTTTTTGGCTTGCAACTTTATGCTGGGGTACTATTATTCTAAAAACATCACTCAAAAGAAGGGGGAAAAAGCCCTTTATAGAGATAAACATGTTCCTTTAGCATTACTTATAACAGAAGAGTAAGAGACACCCTAAATATCCACAAAAGAAATAGAGTGAAATTATGACAAATCCTTACGATAAAATAATATATGATCAGTATAAAGACCACGTAACGGTATAAAAAAAAAAAAAATCAATGAAATGAAATTGTTCCAGAAAACAATACAGAAGCAAACACGGAAATATAAAAACTGGGGTAGAATGTAAAAAAAAAAAAAGAAATAGCAGATTTTCTTTTAAGTTTCTTTAATATTGCCTTAACACTAAGAGAAAGTATATATAAATTTATCCGTTTAAAACTGTATGTATTAGGTTATTTAAGTATAAATACAGAGAAAGAACTTTTGTTTGTTTGTTTGTTTGTTTGTTTTGAGTTGGAGTCTCACTCAGTCGCCCAGACTGGAGTGCAGTGGCCGCTTCCGGCCACCGCAGCCTCGACCCGCTGGACTCCAGCGATCCTTCCGCCTCAGCCTTCCGAGTAGCCGTAATTACAGGCGCGCGCTACCACGCCCGGCTGATTTTTTGATTTATTGTAGAGATGAGGTCTCGCTGCCCAGGCGGGTCTTGAACCCGCGGGCTCAGGCAATCCACTCACCTCAGCCTCCCAAAGGCATGGGATTACAGGCTGAGCCACCGAGCCCGGCGAGAAAGAACTTTTTAAAAAGTATTTGCTTAAAAAAGTTAAATTCAACCAAAAATAATTTTTGGTTTGCAGCACAAGTTTGTATATTTGAACTTTTCTACAACAAGGCACTCTGTTGTTGTTTCTGGCAACTATCTGCAATTCCCTATTGCTGGAAGACACCAAAATACAGTGAGCAGTCGATTGTAGCTCTGAGATGGCAATGGGTGGTTTCCAGGCTGCTATCTCACCCCCACATGGAGGAGACGGGATCTGTCCCCTAAAGAAGGCTATGCAGAGCCTTGACTCAGCCTCACAGCCCTACCAAACCTGCACATGAGGCTGCACATCCCCTAAGGGACGCTGGCCCAGGAGATGAAGCTTTTTGCCATCCCGATACTTACTGGCTGCTGGTTTCTTGAATAAAGCCATCATAGAAGGCTGGATTTTTTTGGTAAAATGTTTATTTTAAACAGTTATTCAAGGCTATTAACGCCTCTTTAAAATTGATTTCCTCTCACCCACTACCCTCCCTTGCCCTATCCCCAAAGAGAACATTTTCAAGAAGAAACAATGGTGATGTTTAACTCTATATTATTGAAACCTCTATATGAAAGTGACACCTGCTCGCCCAGCTTTCTTGCCATGACAAAGATGCAAATTTACTCTCCGAGAGGTCTGTTTTCCCTGTCACCTAAAATTAGCTAAGTCTCTGGTCAATGCCTCGCAGCACCACCCACCAGCATTCTCCACCACACAGTTACAGAGTGTTCTAAATGTGAGGCATGGTGGCACTGAAGAAGCACCTGGGTTTTTGACCAGCTGTGACATCTACAGAGCATATAGGACAAGAACCACCCTGGAAAATGACACGAATAAGCAGCAGAGCTCCAACACAACTGCTCAGATTGCACAGGACCACAGGCCACCTTCCAATCAGTGGATACCTCGCTGATACAAGAAGGTTAAGATTGCAGGTAACTGCGGAAATTGAAATGACAAAGGTTTCAGATGTTCTTCCTCATTCATCAGCAAAGCACAGCATGGGGGGTGCGGGCCATCCTTCCAGTCCCTCTCCAACACAGCACAAACCACCACAGTCCACCTCAGCCTCTGGCACCAAGCACTCAGCATTTACCAGAAACCACCGCCCACCATGGGACGCGATGGCTGGTTTATGATCAGGATGATTTACAGCAAGATGAACACTCCCAACATCAACTGGAAGGGGGAGCATCATATGTTTTTCTTCATAAGTAACTTTCTTACAGTGTCCACAAGCTTCTGATATCACCCTTAGTACATGGGGATGCACAAAGACACTGAGAGTATAAATGGTACTAAGTGGCATTACCAGCAAAGCCAGGTGGGGTCTTGGAGACTAAGGACTAAGAAGAAAAGAGCCATGCTATTGGCACAGCTGGTGCAGCTGCAGGAGGGCAAAGGTCGCAGTGGCAGGGGAATAAGCGCTAAAGCTGGCCTGGACTGGAGCTTCCGGCCTGGGCCTGGCCCTGACCCGGGTGGTCAAGAGTCCATCTCTGATGCTGGAGAATCATTAACTGTATCACTGTGCCACAGGAGCAATGCTAAAAAGCGAGACCACATGCAAATGACACTGGCTAAGTACTGACCACGCCAAACAAGGGGCGGAAGGCCAGGAGACAAACTCTGCAGGCAGAATGATGGTGACCGTGGGGCTGGGAGCTCGTGAGACTTTTCCCTTTGTGCATGTCTGAATAATTCCATAACACAAAGGTTTCTTTAAAGTTAATCTGTACCTATAATATCACTGAGCTCCAAAAAAGTAAAGGCGTGCTTTAAAATGGCAGCCTTTGTTATTTGCCTCGACTGGCCTCTGCCTGTTACATACTACTTCAAAAAATAAGCAGGAAGAAAGGGAGGGAGGGAGAGAGGGGCGCTCACCGTGGGCACCTCGTTCAGTGTCTGCAGCATCCAGTTTTCCAGTGTCTGGAAGTCTCGAGGACCCTGGTACTTCACAGCTTCTTGGCCAGGCTTGAAAAACTTTAAGCTGAAAGAACAACAAAGGATTAGACAGCACAAAATGTGAAAGCACTGCCAGCTGCTCTGAGTTGAGAGCACTGTCTTATCAGGGAGCAAACTCATTTAGAGAAACAATCAGAAAATGAGCTGTCAAGGCACACATGCAGCCAGGCACATAGTTGCCACTCTCTGATAACACCCAAAAAGGAAACAAAAGGAATGTTCCAGGAGATAGTATGTTCACTTAATCCCAAGCTTTTAAAAGTTTCTGATTTTATTCAAGAAGAAAACTGAGGTGAAAACATCCAGCTTCTTGCTGTGCCTTTAACCCTGGGCTGCAAGTGTTCAGCGCTCATTTGCAGGACCCTCAGGCGCTCCCTGTAGGTATCTGTTAGCCTTCTCAGGCGTCCAGCAGTTGTGTGTTTAAATTAGGACTGTAGTAGATACAGCACTGTTGTCCAAAAAAATGCATCCTCCCAGATCACCCTGGCAAGTATTTGATTATCGCAAAGTATGAATATCTAGCTACTGTGAGAATTCAAGTTTCTAGCTGCAAGAACATCCTGCCATGGGGGTGCGGGGGGTGCGGTTCCTTTACTTTCCCACAGGGAAGGACTCTTCTTTTTTTCTACATATGTGGGCCTTTGAAGGAATCTGTAGGGAGGACACAGAAGCAGTTCCTTTAATGGCAAGCAAAAGACATCGGAGGAGGAAACTAACACTCCCAGTTCCTGGATCACTCTACCAGTAATGGGAAAACATGCCAGATAAAACTTTACAGAGTTAAGGATAAGGAAAAATGGAGCTACTGACAGAAGAAAAAAGGAAATACAGACTTATATTTGCTGGCAAGCCTACTCATCTGAAACACTCCTTCCACTTCTATAGCATGTATATGGATTTTGTGAGTAGATGCTCGATGTACAGTATCAGAATTATAAGAAGCCAAGATATGCAGCAATCAGACCTCAAGGTTTGAACAGTGTCTTAGTCGGTTCAGCAGCAGTAACAGAATACAACAGACCGAGTGGTTATACACAACAGAAATCTATTTCTTATAGTTCTGGAGACGGGGAAGTCCTAGATCCAGGTGCCAGCAAATTCTGTGTCTGGGAAGGGCTTTCTAATTCACAGACAGCACCTTCTCTTCGCACTGTGTCCTTAGCAGAAAAGACAAGAGAACTCTCTGGGACCTCTTTGATAAGGCATTTAATCCCATTTGTGAGAGCTTCTCCCTCATGATCTAATTCCTTTCTAAAGGTTTCACCCCCAATACCATCACATTGAGGATCAGGATTTCTTTTTTTTTTTGAGTTGGAGTCTCACTCTGTCGCCCAGACTGGAGTGCAGTGGCCACTCCCGGCCACCACAGCCTCGACCTGCTGGGCTCTGGCAATCCTTCCGCCTCAGCCTTCCAAGTAGCTGGAACTACAGGCACATGCTACCACGCCTGGCTAATTTTTGATTTATTGTAGAGATGAGGTCTCGCCAAGTTGCCCAGATGGGTCTCGAACCCGCGGGCTCAGGCAATCCACTCACTTCAGCCTCCCAAAGTGCGGGATTACAGGTTGAGCCACCAAGCCTGGCTGAGGATCAGGATTTCAACATAGGAATTTTGGGGAACAAACATTCAGTCCATAAAAAAATAGCCAACTTCCCTTAAAATGAAGACCTTAAAACACAGTCTCGCAGCCACATAAAAAAACGAGTACATTAGCTAGTTGAGACATTTAAATGAAAACAGGCATATTAGCCTTCCCCAGAACCTAAGACAGTGTGATGGGGCTTAGGTGAGATCCCTAATGTGCCACCAAGGCAGAATATATGTCCAGCTTCCCTAGTAGTTTATACTGTTATAACCACAACAAAAAGCCAAAATTTAACTAGACGTGGCCAGTACACCCATTACTTCATGAAGTTCGATGTTACAAGCAACCCAAAGTATGCTGTGACGATGATGACTGCTCTCACTCACTGGGACAGCCTGCAGCTCCTACAAGTTACACCATGCCCACAGGGAGACAGAAGGTACCTCCTGTATGTCTCAACTCCCTTCTCCCTCTCCCAAATATCTCCCCCACTAAAGTGCTTCAGGGAAGGCAACAGGTACATCCTCAAAATATCAGAAAGGATAGGGACTATCAAATTCATTCCTTCTTTCTTTGTGAAAATTAAAATATAATAAGATCTAGCTCATGACTTTTCTGATTTGGTATGCATTGAACAAAACAAAAATAAATAAATAATTTTTTAAAAAATCTCTTCTTGTGGCCAGGCATGTTCAAGCCTGTGATTCCAGCACTTTGGGAGGCCGAGGTAAAGTGATTGCCTGAGCTCACGGGTTCAAGAACAGCCCAGGCAACTTGGTGAGACCTCATCTCTACAATAAATTAAAAAATTAGCCAGGCATGGTAGTGTGCACCTGTAGTTCCTGCTACTTGGAAGGCTGAGGTGGAAGGATCATCTGAGCCCAGCAGGTCACTGCTGGGATGGCTGTGAGTATGCCATTGCACTCCAGTGTGGGCGATAGAGTGAGACTCCAACTAAAAAAAAAAAAATCTCTTCTTGTTGTTGGCCTGAAAAATCTTTCTAAAAGTGGGAGGTTCTTCTTCAATGGGTTCACAGAGCCCAGGAATAGAGTTGGCACTTCCATACGAACCTTCCCATCAGTCTGGGGCATCTACTTCAATCATCTCTGTTGATGGAGGTGAAGGGGGTGATGAAGATTGGGTCACAGCATGCAAGCCCAAAACACAGCCCCAAACTTTTTGTGCTATTGCCAAACCTCCACAGGGGCATGTGTGTCTGCCTGGAGATCTGTTTCTCTTTCAAGGAGACTGGAGGGGAGAAAATCCCCACTGAAGGATCACTTTGGACAGTGTGATGAACATTCTACTGCTGTAGACACGTGGGATGAACTGGATCCCCCACAACAGGTATGTTGATGTCTTAACCCCCAATCTCTGAATATGACCTCATTTAGAAATAAGGTCTTCACAGAGGTGACCAAGTTAAAATGAGGTCATTAGGGTAGGCTCTAATCCAGCATGACTGGTGTCCTTATTAGGGGAAATTTGAAAATACACACACACACACACACACACACACACACACACACACACACACACACACACACACGGGAAAGGTCACTTGAATACAGAGGAATGGTGCATCTACAAGCCAAGGAACACCAAAGATGGCCAGGAAACCATCAGAAGCCAGGAAGAAGCAAGGAAGGAGTCTCCTGGAAGTTTCAGAGGGAGCACGGCCCTGCCCACTCTTTGATTTCCAACTTCTAGCCTCCAGGACTGTGAACCAATACATTTCTGTTGTTTTCAGCCACCCAGTTGTATGGTACTGTTACAGCAGTCATAGGAAACATACACAAGTGGCTTTCTCCTTCTGTCCTGCTCTGCTTCTGGTTTCCCATATGAAATGATTCTTTCCTGGCTCAACAGGAAGACCTCAAAACATTTTCCTGAGCACAGTCAGCCATCCCTCAGGGCCATGGGAGCCCAGTCTCCCTCCTTCTCCAATCCAGCTAAACTTGCTGGGGTAGAATGACATAAAAGCTGATCTACTGACACACACCCCAGCTCAGGCACCCACAGTCATTATCTGATTTAGGCCTCACAACGACTCTACAGGATGGGTACTGTTCCGGAGGGGTAAAAGCTCCCCTGGGCACATCTGTGAATGTCCCACTATGACCACATATAGTATGGCACACTCTACCTCCTGCATTCTGTGGGAGGGAAATCTGCTCTCAGGAACGTCTGCAGGGCTGTGGTGGGCATGGAAGCTTCTTTCCAAACAGCATCCAGTGTCGGATGAACTCGTTTTCATTCTTTCTAACACAAAGCCAGTGTTTGGTTCACTTGGCGAGACTAGCTCTTCTAATTAAAAATCAGGACACACAATCCAACATGGATGTCTTCAAGTTTGTGAGTAGTACCTATGGAGTAGCTGATGCTGCAGCCAGAGAGTTGTTATGGCCAGGTCCACTTGGGTGGAGTCTTCGCTTCCTCTCTGAAGCCCCATGACAGGTGCCCCTCTCAGTTCCATTACTGCTCCTGCCGACCTTCCCTGTGGCATGGTTTGTAGTGTACATGGCCTCATGGCCACAGACGGTCCCACTTTAAGAATTGAAAAGACAACACAGCAACCCATCTCTGTTGTCCCTGCATCTGGAAAGTAGCAGGCTCTCATAGGCAAGCATCCATCTCCTCGCCCTCATCCCACTACTCACACCTGCCTGCTTCTTTGGGACACTTTTGATCCACTCTTTTTAAAAAAAATTGGGGGGGGGTTAGAGTCTCACTCTATCACCTAGGCTGGAGTGCAGTGGCATGATCACAACTCACCACAGCCTTGACTTCCTGGGCTCGGGTGATCCTTCCATCTTACCCTCCGGGTAGCTGGAACTACAGGTGTATCCACCACACCTGGATACCTTTTTAAAATTTTTTTGTAGAGATACGGTCTCACTATGTTGCCTAGGCTGGTCTCGAGCTCCCGGGCTCAAGCAATCCTCTCACTTCAGCCTCCCAAAGCACTAGGATTATAGGCATAAGCGACTGCGCCTGGTCGCTTGATCTGTACTTTAAATACAGTGCTACAAAGCATGGAATGGTGAATGCCTTTATGTAGATACAAACAGTAGGAAATTTTTCTCTCCATTGATCTGATTTGATGTAGACATGAATTACGGCACTCAGATGAGCCAGCAGCCACCAAAGACCAAGAGCTCCACAGTCCTTTATGGAAAGGCCAAATTTCCAAATGGGAGGGGAAACCCTGTCATTGGCCCGGTGTGCTCAGACTGGTGTTTGCACATACGTTATTCCGTGCATCTCCCATAACATATGATGTTGGGAGTGGGTTGGGAATCATCAACTTACTTAGACCTGGAGATCCACGGATGCGGCCATAGCCACACAGTAAGTAAATGGCAGAGCTACGATTTGACCAGGGCTTCCAGGTTCACGCACAGGGACTCCCTCACTTTTCTGCCTCTCAGATTTGAAGATAAGCTCTGATTTTATACTTAATCAGTGGCCTTCTTTATTAGTCAATTAGGTAATGAATTACATAGAACTGACATCATTCCTCAATTGAAACAAATTAACAGCATCTTCCCTTTCGTGGAGAACCGCTTTTCCCGCCAACACTTGCCACATGATCTTAATGGGATGCATCTTCCTACAAGCTCCTGCCTTGCCTGCCACAATGACAGGGCCAGTCAATGGTGAGCGCAAGTCCTTTCACACAAACAGAGATGTACAGCTGGAAAGTTAAACCGCCTTGAGGGAGGTGCAGTAGAAACAGACCCCAGGCCCCTGGAACTGAGACTCAAGCTTCTTCCACAGTCTTTTAAATAATCCTCTCATTTGTTTGATAACTCCATTTCAACTTCTGTTTCTTATAACCAAAAAAATGCTTAGCTGTCAAGGGAGTAAGTAGTATTGCTTGTCAGAACTGCTGTACTCTGGTTTGTCACCTTTTTTTCCCAACAGAAATAGTTGTGCTAGTGGCAAGGAAAATAACTCAAGGAAGGGTGTTTAAGAATAAGAGAGTCACTCAAAATTCAAACCGAAATTGATGACTAAGTCTATGCAAACCATGTAAAACTTATTAGTGAACCTCAAATGTGGCAGGGTATCATAGAGACTGCCATTTTTGTCTCACAAACACATTCTCTTATAAACAGGAAAACACAACACTGATTAATTACTGTAAAGGCTTTTTTCCAAAGTACGAAAGGTATCTAAAATAGACACAGCATTAAATATAATTTCTCCCTAACAACAGGGACTGCCTGCTTAAATTTAGCATCTTCTCACTTCTCAGAACTACAAAGGAAGTTACCAGAAGTTTAACTCGGATTTTCTTTGGCAGAGTACAGCTGGGAACAATCTAAGAAGGGTGCATCCTTCCTTCCAACTTACGTAGGGTATCCTCGGACTCCTTGGGCAGAGCACACTTCCGAGTCAGCTGTGCAGTCCACTTTAGCCACATAGACCTTGGCATCCTCCATGCTGTTGTACTTGTCCCCCAGTTCATTCCAAGTCGGCTGCAAGCGCTGGCAGTGTCCACACCTGTAACAAGGCATGAGTGACAAGTATGCTGAGTGCCAGGCCACAGGGTGTCCAGCCAGACACAACTTCTGCCCTGCCCACAGGGCAATGCAGCTCTCAACCCTTTCTTTACACTGCAGCAGAAGGGAGCTCACAGCAACTCTAGGACCCTGCTCCCTGCTAAGACCCCTCCAGAGTCGCAACACTGTTCGCGGCATTAAACTGAGCAAGGCGCTGGTCCAGGTCCTTCTTGATCTGGTGCCTGCTGACCTCCCTCTTGACCTCTATTCCGAGCCCACCCCCTTCCCTTGTGGCCCACTCCGAAGCCCTACTCAGTGTCTGCAGTTTCCTGGCTTCCTCTCTGATGCTTCTTCCCCAAACCCCACCTGGCTAATTCTATTTGCCCTTTGAGTTTAGTTTGGGTGCAGCTTCCTCCAGGAGGTCTGCCCTGACTCCCCAGGCTGCTGGATGCTAGTTCTCTTTGCCTCTCCTTCTGGAAAGGTCCCCGTTTGGGCAGCAGCTTAGCACTTCCTGCTGTAACCGCCCCTTTACTAGTCAGGTTTCTTCAACTATATAACCAAATATCCACAAATACAAGGCAATCGCAAAATTAAATCAATTCGGCATTTTCTCCAATGAGAAGCTAAAGAAAAGAGTCTATGATATAATCAAACATCTACTTATAATATTCATTGTAAAAATTTAGTTATATACAAATTTTTTTTTTGAGTTGGAGTCTCACTCTGTTGCCCAGACTGGAGTGCAGTGGCCGCTCCCGGCCTCCACAGCCTCGACCTGCTGGGCTCCGGCAGTCCTTCCGTCTCAGCCTTCCAAGTAGCTGGAACTACAGGTGCGCGCTAACACACACGGCTAATTTTTTTGATTTATTGTAGAGATGAGGTCTCACCAAGTTGCCCGGGCGGGTCTTGAACCCGCGGGCTCAGGCAATCCACTCACCTCAGCCTCCCAAGGTGCGAGATTACAAGCTGAGCCACCGAGCCTGGCTTACAAATATTTTTAAATCATCAATCATCTAAAATAACATTAATTAGGATTATCACTTCTTGTCACTCTTCACATCTCATGAAATCGGTATCTTTCCAATACTAGATCGCGGAGTCACACAGCTGACCACAGCTCTTCCTGTATTGTTTCAGAACCCTATGTCTGCAGTGTCACATGTGAATTCTGTACTAGACAACACTTAATGTCCAAACTTCATGTAAAACCCATAGCATTAAGGGTTATGGGTTTTTTCATTTTTCTGGTAAGTGCACATTGATGTCCACAACGTAACCACTTGCTGTACTTTTTTTTTTTTTTTTTCCCTGAGTTGGAGTCTCACTCCATCACCCAGGGTGGAGTGCAGTGGTACACTCATGGTCACCCCAGCATCGACCTGCTGGGCTCTGGCAAGCCTTCTGTCTCAGCCTTCCAAGTAGTTAGAACTACAGGCATGTACCACCACACCTGGCTAATTTTTTTTTTAATTGTAGAGACGAGGTCTTGTCAATTTGCCCGAACTGGTCTCGAACCCTCGGGCTCAGGCAATCCATTTGCCTCAGCCTCCCAAAGTGCTGGGATTACAGGCTGAGCCACTAAGCCCGGCCTGCTGTACTGGTTTTTAAAGTGCTCTTGGGAATATACCCACAGGAACTCAAATCACTCTATGAAAAAGATACCTGCACACGCAAGTTTATTGCAGCATTATTCACAATAGCAAAGACGTGGAACCAACTGTGCTGCCCATTAAAAGAGGACTGGATTAAAAAAACGTGGTACATATACACGATGGAATATTATCCAGCCATAAAGAAGGACAAAATTATTAACTTCGCAACAACTTCAATGGACTTAGAGTCTATAATACTGAGTGATGTATCACAAAAACAAAAACCTGAGTATCACATATTCTTATTCATCAGCGAACCTTGAACAATTATCGTAACACTATAAGAAAAGGATTGGCAGTAGTGGGAAACTGGGGCGGGGGGAGCAGGATTGGCAGTAGTGGGAATCTGCGGGGGGGGGCACACCTCATCAACAAGGGTGCCTGCATAATGAACGTTTGTAAACCTAACCCTGAATTGTATCCCACATCTTTAAAATCAAAAACAAGAACAAAAAACTTCTTTAGAAGAAAACACCCAACACTTTCTTTTTGTTTGTTTTGAGTCAGAGTTTCACTCTGTCTCCTAGGCTGGAGTACAGTGGCATGATCACAGCTCATTATGGCCTCGATCTCCTGGGCTCAAGCAATCCTTCTGCATCAGCCTCCTTAGCAGCTGGGACTACAGGTGCACACTCCCACGTCCAGCTAATATTTTGATTTTTTGTAGAGACAAGGTTCACTATGTTGCCTGGGCTGGTCTCCAACTCCTGGGCTCCAGCAATTCCCCCGCCGCAGCCTCCCAAAGTACTGGATTATAAGAATGTGTTACCATGCCCAGCCCCCAACACTTAAAATTGTGACTGCTTCATCAGAATAATTTCTCAATAAAAATGTGTCAAATCTCTTTGCCTCTCTTCTTTTCTGACAGATGACCTCAAAAATAAGCATCTAGGTTGGGCATGGTGGCTCACACCTGTGAGCCTAGCATGTTGGGAGGTTGGGGCAGGAGGATCAGTTGAGTCCAGGAGCTTGAGACCAATTTGAGCAACAAAGTGAGACCCTGTCTCTACATAAAAAAATTTAAAAATTAGCTGGATATGGTAGTGTGTGCCTGTAGTCCCTGCAGTGAGCTATGATCGTGCCACTACACTCTATCCTGGGCAACTGAGCAAGTACCCATGTCCAAAAACATAATCATGATAATAATAATCTAAATAAGCAACTAAAGGTAGCACTGAAAAGGTCGGCTTCAAGCTAACGTATCTTCCCTAAGCAACACATTCTTGGCCAGCTAAGAGAATCTCTGCTTTATAAGACACTCCAATGCAATCTCATTCCCTCTTTTCTGTAAGACAGTGATGAGGGAAAACGCAGGTTATACTTAAGTACATATGATACAAGTGCCAAGAAAGATAAGCACTTCTTGTCTTTCTTACTTGTATTTTATTTTTCCTTGTCCTTTTACTGTATTCTCTGTTCTGAGCCCGTGCTTGGCATGTACTAAGCGCCTGGCAACTTCTTCACTGAATGAATGAAAATGAGGACAGTGAGACTGCACGTGCAGATGCAACTTCTGTAGAGTCAACAGAGTTTGGCAAAAGGAGGGGTGAAAAGCAGGAAACAAAGGGGAAAAAAGCCAAGTCCCGCAGAACCCTGACATGCGCATGACAGGAGATGTGAATGTTTTGCTCCTCAGCTGGCTTTGGATCCAGCATGCTCCTGCTCAAGGCACAAGCATCTGACCACACCAAGAGCAACCCTATAGTCTAGAGACAGGTTTGAGAACTTGTCAATTTGGTGCTTAACCCAAAGAAGCCGTGATCTATCCTAATTCCGGAGGAAACACTGGCCATGAGCACTGACTGATGGGGCGGTCTCCAACAAGGAATCTTTACGAGGGACTTTCTTTTTTGTTTTTTGAGTTGGAGTCTCACTCTGTCGCCCAGGTTGGAGTGCAGTGGCACGCTCACAGCCACTCCAGTGTCAACCTACTGGGCTCTGGTGATCCTTCCGCCTCAGCCTTCCAAGTACCCAGAACTACAGACGTGCGCTACCACGCCTGGCTATTTTCTACTTTATTGTAGAGACGAGGTCTCACCAAGTTGCCTAGGCTGGTCTCGAACCCGCGGGTTCAGGCAATCCACTCTCCTTGACCTGCCAAAGTGCTGGGATTATAGGCTGAGCCATCAAGGCTGGCCGTGATGGACTTTCAAAAGCAGTTCTAATTCTAGAGGAAGTGGGTCAGATACTCTCATTCTAGAAGTTCAGAACTCCTGGGCAATCTCGACAAAGTTTTTTGTGAAGACACAGACTAGATTAAGAATGAGAATAAAGAATAAGTTAATTGGGCACAAAATCAAAACTGACCGTCCTGGGCCATCACCAAGCCATGCTTGCCGCTCCCTGTGATGGATCTCCAGGTGCCACCTAGCACTTCTGGCTTGGGAACCTTGCAGTTACAGCACGCATCTCTGAGATGGCCAGCTGCACTCACACGGTAGCTCGTGACCAAGTAAGAGCAAAGCCACCTAGTCCACATCTTGACCTCACCGTCACCAGGTTCACAAACTAGCCATAGAGAAGCTGTGATCTGATGTTGTCACAAAACCTACAGTAGTAGGACAACCCTTCAGCTGCCAAGTTCAGAGCAAACATACACAGATCAATGTTTTCCTTACATAATGCCCCAGCCCCTAAATCGCACGTGGGCTTTCAACATTCCACAGCAGCTGAAGCAGGAGGGGGGCTAGGGGCAGCCCACAGCGTATTCTACCTGAGTGCTAACCTGCTTAGCTCACAACCACTCCAGACCTCACTCCCTGCTTAGGTTTCAGGAGTCACCGCAGTGTTCTCAGCATAAAACTTTGGAAGGCACTGCTTCAGATCCTCCTAGATCTGGCCCCTGCTGACCTCCCCTTGATCTCAGCCCTTCCCTCCTTGTGACCTACTCCTGAGTCCTGCTGCATGCAGCATCTGTTTTCCAAAAAGGCCCTTTTTTTTTTTTTGAGTTGGAGTCT